AGTTTGGTGTTCGGGTATATTATGAAGGAGGAGATAGGGGTGTAATATATGGACATATGGATATGTAGCGGTTGAGAGTTTAGGGTTTATGGTTTGGGGCTTGGGGTTAAGTGGCAAGGGTCGCCGTTCCGGATTTGGGGTTTAGGACGGACGGCATAGGAATTTATGACTGCCCATCTATATGATTCAATGACTCACCTTTAGCACTGGCTGGAAGCCTGTGTCCAGCAGCTATAGGGATAGCAGTCTTTCTGCTGGAAAACACTATTGCCAAATGGGTTGTTCTAAAAATGATAGGCCCCTTTTGGTTATAGATTTTATTACAGCACCTCATATTTAGGGGTACCCAGGTCGCAACCAACTTCTGGGAACTGGCCAAATAAATCATCAGGTGCTACACTCTGTTGGACCCTTGCAGCCGGGCAGCTCTTCGTAAAGACCATCTCTCAGCGTAGTCTGCCTCCGGCAGAGTTCGCCCTGTCCTGCCAGAAAGGTCTGGGGCTATAGATGGAACTCGAGTTTAAGATTTGGGCTTCGGGGATACTAATGTTGTAGGGTCGGGATTCAGAATTTAAGGTGCAGAGCTGAGGTTCAGGGCTTATCTTAAAGCACTGAGCTGGGGATACTACTTACTAGCTGAGGAAAGAATAAGATAAACCTTCCCGAAAAAGATCCAGGATGTTCCCTGACCTCTAAACCACAGTCCCCCATATCTCGAACCCTACGCCCTCGAATTCAAAGCCTGAACCCTCAAATCCTGAAGCTCACTGCCCGGAACCTCTCAACCCCAATGCTGAAAGCAATGTTCTGTGCCAAGGCCATGGGTTGCTTCGGTGCTAGACCCCAGTTCCCCCCGAAGAAGGAAAGGGTTCAGGGATGATTGGCTTTAGGGTCTTGATGGGTTTCCGAAAAACCCTGGTTGCGGCGGAGTTTATTGCGCAATGGGTTCCACAAAACCAGAGGACTTTCGAATATTTTGAACCAAGGAGCCTTCATGTACTGGGAGTACATCTCCTAAACCTTGAACCCCAAAAGCCTAGGCCCTTCAGCCATAGATCGTCGATCCTGAGCCCCATTTTTTTCGAACTAATGGTGGCCCTAAAAAGACATGTCAAATACGCGACAACAATCATTCAAACGAACCCTGTGCACCCCTACTGAAAGCGGAAAGGACGCTTAGCTCATATATTAATTTTCTTTGACCACAGGCAATGTCTCCTTCGCGTATCTCAACGCGGAATTCTGTCTGCTCCTGCTGCAACCTGCGGCCACTCAAATACTTTTATATCTCTGGCATATCTCTCGCCAAGTTAAAGCCTTGTCACAATCTTAAAAAGGCGCAGAAAACCACATATGCGACAAAGTAAGTTGAGTTCCAGACACTTTCTTCTGCATACCATTTTGTGCTTGCGTGAGGATCAAGGGACAGCGTTCAGGATTTAGGGAGTAAGGGTTAGGATGCGGGCGGGTTAAATTTAGGAATCAGGAACATTCAGTATTCAGAATCTGGTGTTTGGGGTTTGGGAGATAATACATCCAGTCACACCAAAAGAGGTTTCATGCCTGAGTCAGCCCGAAGCAAACTGCAACTGATCCAACGCAAACTTATTGATTGAGCATTGAAGCGTGGATTTGACCAGCAAGTGAGTTCTGCTAACGTCAAACCCCTCCCCAATGATCATCGTATGGCTGCCACATGACTGACATATTGCGCAGATGGTGGGGTTGGAGTTGCGGAGGAATCTTCCACGCCAACAGCAACACATACCGGGCTGAGCCTTGAGTGGCTTGAACCCCTTACACCCGGTAAGGGATGATGGTTGCAAAACTAGAAGCCCTTTCAGTGATTCTCAGAGAAAGGATCCTACCTGCTGGCAAGGCCAATATAAATGGCAGGGACAAACTTGGAAAACCCCCACCACATGGACTACAGTCTCACGTCCGGTATGAAGCCTGCAAGGCCTTAGAACAGCAGCAGTCCCCTCCAAACCGTCATTGTCTGTCAAGGGTCGGGGGCTTCTTTTGAAAGGATCTTTCTACCTCCTCTGAATTCTGAATGAAATAAAACCTTTCCAGAACAATCCCCAACAGAGACCACGGATTTTTGGAACCGCACCATGTGGGATGATACTCTGGGACTAAACCCCAAAGGACTGCCAGTCTGCGAGAATATTGCATTGCTCATAAGCGAACTAAGGATTAGGTAGTTCCCAAAATCTGCCGCGGCCTTCCCGTGTGCGCGCTTTGTTTCGGGTTTCTAGGAATGTAATGGGGGGTCCGGGCAGTTGTCTCGGTTCCGCACAAGTTGGCGGGGGGCGGAAATGGAGGTTCCCCCGAAGCTTCTGGCTAAACACGCTTCGGGTAAGTGGAAAAGGTGCATGGAGGCGGGGGGGGGGATGGGCGGAGGGGGGGCCGGAGAGGGGGCAGAGTCGCCGCAGTGCCCCTGCTCTGTGCTATCACCCCTCGACAGCCTTTGCCGAGGCAGTCTCGTGGAAGCGGTTAAATTAAGGTCCCTCTGGTACACCCCTAGATCTTAGGTGCCGAAATAAAGCTTGTAACCAAAAAGAGCCCATAATTTTGAGAACAGCCCACATAGGGATATACAGGCAATACATAAGCAGTCTTGGGATATCAATGTAATAACGAAGAATCACATGGCAAAGAACTTGGACATGGCTTCCGTATGGAGGTTTCTCAAAAAGTGGTGTAGGGACTCTCAGGATAGAAAGGGATGATAGATTCTAGCTAAGTTTCTCTTGACAATTACGTAAAGAGTTGGTGGGAAAGCTAAACCCAGCAGACCTTTATACACCCCTAGCATTAGCACAGTCCATTTGTATGTGCCTAGAACTTGATATCATCAATTGAAACGCAAGATATCCTTACGTCACCCCAAGTGGGAGGTCAAACTAGAGTTTTAAGGCAACCCTTTAAACCCTTGAGTTTAGAGAACCCGCAAGCCCTCCCTAGAACCCCAAACCTAAATTCCAATCCCAAGGCCTACAACACAATGACCAATACGGTAAAAGACACCGGGACTCTGGGTTTATATACAGCCGAAAAGAATTCACCAATATCATGCTGATGTCTATTTGAGGTACCCTCTACCATCATTACACAAGGAATCCAGAACCATACATTTGGGATATCCTTGGGCCCCTGCAATACTCCCTATATGCCTGAATCCTAGTTCTGTGATTTTACCTCCTGCCCTCCCTACATTCCCACCTAAGTCCTAAACCCCAAAATCTGAATCCTAAACCCGAAACTCCAAGCCCCAAACCCTAAACCCGAAAGCCTAAACCCCCCAAACCTTAAACCCTAAACTGCGAACCCTTTGCCAAAGAGCCGTTGCATAGAAGCCATCGTTTGCCCTATAGCCAGCTGCAGTTTTTCCATCTCTCTCCTTTCGCTTCACAGGTTTCGGACGTTGGGCCTTGGGGTGGACCCCCTCCTTTTAAGAGCCTAGATACTAGAATCCCGATTATACTCCTTATTAAGGGGAGGGGGTTTACTAATCAGGGGTCTACACTAGGGGTAATTTTATACTCGGGTTATAATACAGGTGTTATAGAGGGAGAGTGGAAGGAGAATGGAAACTACTATTTAGGGTTTAAGGTTTTGGGTTTGAGAGGGTTCAGAGCTTTGGGTTGGTGGTTTAGTGCTTTGGGCTTGGGGTGTTTTAAGCTTTGGATCTGGGATGGTTGAGGGTTTAGGGGTTATGGCTCAGGGATTGGAGGTTAGCGGCCGACGGCTTTGTGGAGTAGCTTTTGGATCCTAATGGCATGACGGACATTACACGCGGGTTTCCGAAGATCCACCTTTTTGTTGACTTGCTTCTGGGGGGCCCACTATTTAAAAAACATGGGAAGGTATCAGGTATACTCGCCTGAGGCTTCTAGGTCTCTCTCATTTTGTGGCGGGATGAGGAAACTCTGCAGATTCTCCTGCGCAAGTTCTCCAAGGACAGCTACTGCTGGGGACAGATTAACTGGACCACTGCCACAGTTGACAATCTCTTCGTCTAATAACAGAACGCCAGCTCTAATTTACTTGTTTGCTGTTAAGGAACTTGATTTAAGCAATTCTCTTGGGGAAACCCTATTAGTTACTATATATACCCATTATGTTAACTTAATGTAAGTTGTTTAACAGCAACTCGGTCAATTGCTGATGATGTGGTAATTTCCCTGAATAAGAGACCCCAATATAGACCACCAAATGCTACAATCCTAGATACCCCTAATTTTGGGAAATCCCCATATATTACGGATGTGGGCTTTTGGCCTCAAAGGCCAGACGGGAGTTAGGAATACTGAGAGCAGGCGCAAAAAATAGCGGCAATAATGGGTGTTTCCCAAAATGAGGGGTACATTTTTCGGGTCCCTATAATAAGGACTATCGTGTATTGGGGTCTATATTTGGGGTCCCCGTATTGAAGGAAACTACCAATGGCAGTACTGTCATATTCTGCCCGGACAATGTGTTGGGAGACCCTGAAACTTTTTGCGCACATAAATGTGCTAAAAGAACGGGTCGTTGCGTTCTGCGCGAAAACAGCTACAGTACTATAATAGGACTTTAACTTATGGTCTCCCAAATTGGGCACTCGATCTCAAAAAACTATCAAAACACAGAAGCCTATTTCACATACCCATGTTATGCCAGCTTGTTACGGACTCCAAACCAACAGTTTTAATGGCACGGTGGAAGGTTTTCAGGATCAGATATGTGTTTAAGGTATAGGGCCACTACCCCAATAATGGAGAACCAAATGGAAACGGACATGGAACATGAAATGAAAGCCGGTTTTACATAGGGGCTACATGGTAGGTTGTCAGAATGGTGGCCCCTTTCTATTTCCAATTACAGTCTGGCCCCTAGTGGGACCATAACTTTGACCACCTGCAAGACGTGGGTGCTTGTAAGATGCCCATTTCTGAGCACAAGTCGCAACAAGGTAGATCTGATGCATTTCGTTAGGGGAATCACTCTAAACGCTAAGGGGGCTTGCATCCATGCGTCTGCAACATCGCAACTTCGAGCGTCAGCGTCTGCACATCAGTGCGGCTGGCAGCACCTTTCATCTGCACGATGTGAGCCACAAACTCATCAATAGCAATCTCTTCTTGCTCTGTAATGGCGGCCAGGGTCTTGAAATAGTGCTCCGGCATGCGAATATCAACTCCTATCTGGCGCAGTGCGTGCTCCACCCTATCATTCTGCATGGCAGTCAGGAACTCATCCACGGAAAGTGAGCCAGATCCATCCGTGTCAATGGTGTGCATGATTGCTGTCACCTTTCGACTCGTTTTAACCAAGCTTACATACAACGCTCTTTTGGTTCTACTTGCTTGCATTATATTCTTGTTAAGCCTTGCTTGCATTATATTCTAGTTAAAACCTACCATTTCTGCCTCAAAAGTATGCATAAAATAAATGGTGGTTTTCAAGAATTATATTCCATTGTTCCCTATCAAGCCCCAGTAAGCTAGGAATAGCATCGCCTCCTGGATGTCATCCTGAACTTGCTTCATGTACTCTGCCAGGGCCTGCTGCAGGGATGCTCAGCTTGTACACATGGGGCTTATATTGGGTACTGCCCCCACCCAGTAACAGTCTATATTAGGGGTCCTAGTAAGGGCTATATATAACCGTATTATAATTATTATCCAGCTGTTACTGAGGGGGGGCAATTCTGAAGGGTTTATAAAATGTGTAGACTATTACCTGGAGAAAAATCCAGCTTCTATTTAATTTGCCCTGTTCTTCTCCGCTTGTTTCTCCATTACTGGGGTAATATGCCTGAACCCAAACCCAGAGCGCCTCCTGATCATCGGGCTTAAAGAGAACGGAAGCATTCTCAACGAACACGCCTGCAATGTCGTTAGGATGCTTCTGGCTAAGATGGCTTGGTTACTGGTTATAGTCCCCCTTAAGTAGATAGAATATGGGATATATGGGGTTCTCATTATAATCTAACCCAAAGCCATATTCTATCTTCTTAAGGGGGGACTACAAGATGGCTTGGTTACTGGTTACACTCCAGGATGACATACTGAAATCTACCCGACGCATGGCCTGTGATGATGTTCATGACCTAGGCTTCCAAGAGCGACTGACAAACAAGACCAGGCAAAACAACACCATGTGAGCGCGGAATGCACAGATATGTTTGCACCATCGCTCAGCTCGGAACGCCCAGGGTGAAGAACAAGAGATAGAATGTGAATGCCTGAGGCGCAGGCACCACTTTGAACAAAGACAAGTTCAGCCATGGCAACGAACAGCTTTGACACGCCAGATCACAGCTGATATCCTGTCTGCTACCTCAAGTACTTTCTCCGAATCGCCCGCTACGTTTGGGATTCCCAGGCAGCATGTACGAAGACCTAAACCCGAAGAAATCTCCAAATGCTGCTGGGCGACAATGGCACAGTCTGCACCCAGAGGGGCAACCAGCTGATACCTAGGCTTCCATGGCAAGAACGCACGTGCTTTGCACCAAAAATCTAATCAATATGTGACCCCTCTTCCCGAATCACTATCTTTGCGTGGACGTTGCTTTCAACGCTTATTGCAAGTCTTGATCATGAGTACGGGGGATGGTGGTTATGGAGAATGATTACTGTTGTTAAGTTGTTGTCCTTTCTTTGTAGCGTTGACTTTGTTGCTGGGGGCTTCAACGGCTCCATGTTGTCAACGAGGACACAGGTAGGGACACGACGAGCCATATCTGTACCAGGCCCTTCCCTGAACCCTAAACCCCATTCCTAACCCGCGATGAAGAGTTACACCCCTCCCCTTAGTGGGGATTAAATTAGTCATCCTAATATTAAGGCCCTTAAAAGGAGGGGTTTTATTAATCAAGGGTCTACAGTAACCTTCTAATTTGCATGAAAGCAGGCAAGATTCACCTCCTCCCAGTCCTTTCCTCCGGTGCTGGCCATGAGAAGCACGTACATGGCGCTGCCAGTGTTGTGGAAGTAATCCCACTGCCTGTGGTCAAGGTCTTGATGCACAGCTTCGTCACTCCAACTGCGATTCCTATGAACATGCCTGACTGATACACCATGCGCCAAACTTATTTCTTGGGATGACACCGGACCTTAATTCTAGCTAAGACCCATAATCGACGGAACCGTGCCGACGGAAACGACCGCAATCACTACCGATAGCATTGCATCATCACGAGAGCGGTAGTTGCAACAATAACAAGGAAGCCCACATGCTGACAAACAAGAACGTTGACAAAACATTGTCATCGACGTCCAATCATCATCATCATCATCATCAACATCATAATCATCCTCATTGCTCTTTTTTCAAACAATACAACCACTGTGTTTGTTGTCGCAGCAATGCGGTTCGTCTGGCAGCCTTGGCTTTAATTAGGGCTTGGGGGTAGTGGCCTGCGAGGTTAGGGACTTGGCCCGTCATTGCCAGCAAGGGCTATTAAAGTTGAACACCCCAGACCCTAAAACTCTAGATAGTAGTTTCCATCCTCTTTTCCGCTAATCCTATATAACCACAATATATAAACCTATATTCGACATATTCATGGTCCTTGCCATCAGCTCGGGGTTGTTTCGAGTGTATATGAAGGCCCTCGGTTTGTCACGAGGAGCTGAGTAGCCATACGATTCTGCAACGGTGCCAAGGTCACGCAACCAGGAGCCACTAACTCCAAAAAACAGACTACGAAATTTCGGCGGTGCGATAAGGCCCGGCCCTATAGGGTTGGTAGGGAAGTTCACGAAAAGATTTCTGAGGCTTAGTGGGCCTGGGGAATGGATCACTATATCTCTCTATATCACGAGATCCCCGATAATAATCTCGATGACCCACTCTCCAATCCCAAGTAAGCATGAGTAAGACAAATGAACCCAGCTGCAAGGACCACAGCTCATCTTCCTGCGGTGTAATCTGCAAGTAGGCAGTCATCTGCTGCATGAAGTAGATGGCAAATATGAAGATGATAACTGCCAGCATTCCAAGGGCCCAGAACAAGGAAATGAATGAGCCCACAATTGCCACCAGCATCACCCGCACTTCCTTCAGGAAGCGGAGCACGCGCATAATGCGAAACAATCGCGTGACTCGCAGCAGTCGAAGCATACCGACTCTTCCAACTTGGACGTTGTAGTATTCGAAAAAAATGTCCATATAGGCGAGCAGCATCAACACAAGATCCATGAGATTCCAAGACATGTCCTCATTGCAGAAGAAGTAGAGCCTGTGCACCAGAAGTCGAAGCACGATTTCCACAGTGAAGAAAATCAAGAAGACGGTCTCGACGAACGGCCCGGAGGCGTATGTTTGGCCCAAGGTTTCCATCTCAAAGTTTGTCTGAACTGCAATGAAAACCTGGAGCACTATTGGGGTTTAGGGCTTAGGGTTCTACACAGAAGAAGATCAAGCATCAGCTGAAAAAACTACGTTTCAGTATGGTTGAGAAAAAGGAAAGTGTTCAAAAACTGACCAGGCACTGTGTTGGCAAGAACTGCCAGCATTACTATTGCCTCGAAGGTCTTGTGAGCTATCAGCTTGGCTAAGCAGGAGGTTCTTTCCTTGGCTGCCTCTGATTCCCGTGTTCGAGGAACAGCTTTGAGCTACTGCATGGTAGTTCATGGGATTTGGGGTTTAGGGCTTACGGTTGCATGAACCCCTTCACAAGGACCCTACAACCTCGAGATGATCGATATATATGGTTGCACGCTGGCACATGGTTGCGCGCTGGCGAACCCTTCCACTTGTGGTGTGGTGCTGGGTCTTGGGGACAGTGAACCAAAATGTATGAGAGCTGATGGAAAGAGTTGTAGCAATACACAACGTGCCATCATATATCCCTAACGCCCCCGGGGGCCACATGTTTTGAGAAGCTCCCATGCTTGGCAGAGTGCAGCTACGTTTCCGGTTCCTCCAGATGAAGAATCCAGCTGACACTGCTGTGAAGTCGGTTGAAGACATCTCGCCAGAAATGTCCAATCTGTGGGAAGAAGAACTGCCTGTCGACGTCAGCCGTACTTGCCCGCAGGAACGCCAACCTTGCTTGCAGTTGAGCCTGTTATGACAAAAATACTAGAAGTTGGTTTCATACCCATCGTTTGCCGCGCTTCGAGGCTAGAAAGTGTAGATTTCATTGGCCAGCGCAAGGGATTTGCATGCCGGGTGACGGAAGACAATCACCAAAAAATTGGGAATTTTGGATGTTTATGCAAC